GGTCTAAGGGAGGAACTTTTAATCGTGACATTGTAATAAAAACAAATATATTAAAAAGAACAAAAGTACTTTTTTTGCCATTTTGATAGAAAATACATTTAAATATTTTGAGAACAATTAAAATTTAAGTTCTCTAAATTTACATAGTGAGTTTTAAATAAAAGGCAATGATTTTGCTTCTGTTGGTAAGGTACAATATTAATCTTCCTATTTTTTTTCTCTAAAATATTTCTTAAGTAACATTTATTCTTTTCTCACTTCATAAATTTTTTCTTTTAAAGTTCTACTTCTCTTCCTTAGACCTTTATAGTACACACTTCAAATATAAAGTGTTTTACTTCCCTTTTAAGGTGCTTTCATATAGAGGCAAAACTTTCATGCTTCTCCTAGTCATGTAGCTCCACCTGCTGGTCATACCTAGGTATAGCATTCGGGTCTATTGGAGCTAATTTTAGCTTTGAGTTTCTTTTTTCAATTTCAACAGTTGTATTTGTGGGAATGGCTATTTCATGACTTTTATTCTTTCTCATGGGTCTTTAAAATATCAAAAAATAAAATGTACTTTTTTTAAGCAACAGGATATATAATTTTCATATGGACCCTTTTACAAGTCTAAGATATATTATAGAATTTTAGTTATCTTATTTTTCCTTTTTGTTGAAACATTTGCTATTTTATCACCCTAGAAATTATTACATTATTGATAAGTTATTAATGCTGGAAAAGACTAAATAAGACAATGAAGGAATGGTGGACAGATACCATTAAACTAAAATCAAGTGATGTTGGTGAAATGGATCATGAAAGAAAAATTGCAAGAATATGAATTTTCAGGTGTCAATATCCTAAATGTTCTCAAACTTAAGAATCTGTGACTAAACAATATATTTCTAAGAATGAACAGAAAATATAGTATTTATTCAAAAAGAAAGGACCTCACCACACCACTATTTGTAACAAGAACAAGCTATCTGCTATGCAAAAAAGATGTGACAACAGTTCTTTCATCTCTTATGATATTTATGTGCGATATTTACCTAATACAAGTGTACAACGCTGACTTTAGGTATATATGTAACTGACGGGAAAGAAACCGATGGTGTAGAAAGAAAAAAGAAAAATTACTGGACTAGAGAAAACTGAAGAGTTCACTGTACTCGGATGGTAAATGGTGATAACTGGTTTTCCTGGTATACTGAGCATGTTTAATAGGAAAGGAAAAAAGGATACCACACAAGAATAAAAATAAAATATCCAGGAATAAAATAATGAGAGTTGTATAATGTAGAGAAAACTAAAATTTCATTTAAGGACATAACAGAAGATATAAATAAATACATGTTGGATAGTAATGCTCAATATTGTAAAAATTCCAATTCCCTCCAAATTACTTCTGAAATATTGTAATAATAACCAAAGAATTCATATAACTCAAGATAATTCTAAAATTTATATGGAAAAACAAATTTTTTTATTCATGTCAATGATATTTATGATTTTGATTGATGCCAATGCCAATGATTCAAATACTTTTTTTGCTTCTTTAAAAAATGTTACGGCCCTGGCCGGTTTGGCTCAGCGGTTAGAGCGTCGGCCTGCGGTCTGGAGAGACCCGGGTTCGGTTCCCGCTAAAGGCACGTACCTTGGTTGTAGTTTGTCCCCAGCCCTGGTTGGGTCGTGTGGGTGGCAACCACTCGATGTGTCGCTTTCACGTCGATGTTTCTCTCTCTCTCTCTCTCTCTCTCTCTCCCTCTCACTCTATCTGAACAAAATATCGAAAAATGTCCTCGGGTGAGGATAAAAAAAAAAAAAAAAAATGTTATGCATATAATGAAAAGAAACAGTACAGGAGGGCTAACGACGACCAGTAACCCCCGTCCCACTCTTCCCATCTCGCAAGTCCCCAAACCAGACACAAATACTTTTCAAGAGTCTGTTTTTAGTTATTTTGGTAGTTATCTCCATTTTTCTTAATATGCTTTTTCATTTTTTAATCCTTATCCAAGGATGTGTGTTTTTTTTAAATTGATTTGAGAGAGAAACATCAATATGAGAGAGAAACATCGATCAGTTGCCTCCCTTGAGCATCCAGACCAGGGTCAAACCCACAACTTAGGTATGTGCCCTGACTGAGAATCAAACCCGCAGCCTTTTGGTGTACTGGATGACGCTCCAACCAACTAAGCCACCCGACCAGGGCCTTAATAATATGCATTTATTACTATTTCTTAACTTGATGAACTGAGACACTTTCTGTTAACTCTGGCTATTCCTGCAGTCTCCTCCCCCTTGAACATGGTTACATTACCATTTTTACCTCCTCTGTTGGCTACATTGGTCACTTTAATAATGTCTTATTCTCTCAACTTTCGCCAGACTCTCCACATTCTGTTTTATGAGGAAACAGCATCACTATTCCATTTACATTTCTTTCCCCCTCTGCCTTCTAACCTGTAACTCTGTATGCTGTCAAGGTTGGTAACACCTGCATTCTACTCTGTGATCCTAAGTCTTCCTTACTTTGTCTAAGGTTTGACTCTAAAAACTGAAGACCAATGTTTACATTATGATTATTTAAATACTGTTCACTGAGTAGCAAAGTTTTATGCTATAATTAGACGTTCTTGATCCATGTGCCAGTGTTCAAATTAATTCCCTTTCTCATACTCTCTGCAACTGTTCAAAATCATGTCACGTCTTAGGTTGCGTCCTAAGTAAAGCATGCTTTCTCATGGACTTTGAAATGTTTTCATTTCCCCGAAGTTTCCAGTTGTCATTGTTTTGGAGGGTTAAGAAATATATGCCTTCTACATAAGTCACTGTTTTCCCCAGCTCCTTACTCAATACACATATTACTTAAAATCCACTTCATTTCACTTGAGGTCTACTGACTTCCTATTCTAATTTGGAGGGTGTGCCTCCCATTTGGACCATTCTTGTACAGTTAGCATTCCCTACATTTTCAGTTGCATTATCCTTTGTTAAAAAATGCAGCCGGTACCCTTTCTCATTGTCAAGTTTATGCTGCTTTTTAGCTTATGGATACAATAGTTTCTCAGGTATTTCTGAGGATTTTAATATTTTTAAGTTCTTTTCGGTTCCTTAAATTATCCATTTCCTCAAGAGTCAATTCTTCAAACTATCTTAGGCTTTTTTGGTTATATTGCAGGCTTTCGAGAAATGGTGGTTTTAAGGTTGCAGGCAGGGCTGGTAACTTGGCTCCAGAGTTGGTGGGTGAGCCAGTGGGAAGGAATCAACCATCCTACTGAGCCTTGTACAAACACAGAGCGAGCAAGTTCATGGTGAGTCAGCAGGCCGGGGATAAGGAGGTGGGCACTTGCACACTTATAGGAGAGTGCTTCTCTGATCAGTCTTTCTTTTTTTGTTTCTATTAATTTTTTAGAGAGAGTGGAAGGGAGAGAAACATCGATGTGAGAAACATCAATTGGCTGCCTCCTGCGTACCCCGCACTGTGGATCAAGCCCACAACCCAGGCCTGAGTCCTGACCGGGAATTGAACAGGGACCTCTCAGTCCATGGAACGACACTCAATCCACTAAGGCACGCCAGTGGGCCCTGACCAGTCTTTCTAAAGTGCTGGGCTAAAGTAACCCTCAGTTATTCTCAGTTTCAATGCCCTGTGTATTTTCTTCATACCAGGAATTGATCATATATTTCTTGTTCATTTATTCGTTTACTTAGTCATGGTCTGACTATACCACTACATTATAAATAAACAGATGCATATGATACATATAAATGCATATGTACATAATGTATATATGATATAACATGGGGTAAACATTTGGCTTTATAAGCATATGTCATCTTATAATCAGGGACACTCCTTAAAGGTAATTCTACTTTTGATAAATATATATAAGTTAGGATAACTAATTGCTTATGATCATAACTTGCAAATCATAATTTTGCTTTATTTTTGCTCTATACACACATACACACACGATCAGACATACAGTCACATTATTCACAGGGCAATGCAATATTTAAGCCTTTCTAGTTTTTGAATACCACACTCATGCTACGTAAGTTGTTAAATATAATTCCAATAAGTCATTCAATCATATCCCTAACACCCATATTTCTTTTCCTTTTTTTTTTTTTTTTTGTGGTACGTGTCCCTAGCAGGAACCAAACCCAGGACTCTCTGGTCTGCAGGCCGACGCTCAACCACTGAGCCAAATTGGCCAGGGCCTAACACCCATATTTCAAACAATTTCTGTTTATTCTGGTCAAGAGCAAAATTCTTCCTAATTAAATGCAAATCCTTACTAATTGAAAACAAACTTCAAGGAGGTTGAATAAACCTACCCAGGGCAGTACTACAGAGACAGGTTTGTGACTCAAATCTCCCCATTCTGATTCAAGGAAAACGCATCTTTCTGGGAATCTAAGATAGCCAAATCTGATGCCCACCACGTCAGCTCTCCTCTTTGCCACCAGCAGTCATCAGTGTTTCCCAGAATTGCACCACTGGCCTTTTCTGGTCACTTTCTACCTCTGCCTAGAGCTCCTACACGTGTAACAGTGTCCAGCTCCATCTTTACCATGATGGCTCCAAAACCTTCCCAATCAACTCTCAGCTCTGATTCACATCCCAATTTCTAACCAATTCATGGACGTCTCCAATTGTAAATCAAACAATCATCCTTGCCTCTCAAACCAGCTCTTCCTTCTTTCTATAAGCCACAATGGCACCAGTACCTCCCCAGTCATCCAAGCCAGGAGTGCCCACACCTTCCCAGTCAAGACCTATTGAATGTGTCTCCTTATGTTCCCCATATCTCTCTGCACCTTGCATCTCCTCTACTATTTGGTTACCATCTGGTTCATCATTTAGAGAAACAATAGACGACTTTCATTTTAGAGTTTGCACTAATGCGTACAAAAAAGAAAAGGTTTCTAAGGAATTTACTCTGTCCGCATTTAAACTCATTGAAGAATTCTTTCCTACAAGCTAATAAAAATAAAATACTTACTTAAATGGTGTAAACAAAAATGGTAAAGTAACTTCCTTTTTCTGAGTCATTTTCACCTGGGAACCAAGTATGAAAGCATTTTATTATATTATAAATGAGAAAAAAATCAACTGATTTCATTTTGAAATATAAACATCCATTAAAATGTGTCTCCAGAGATGGTTAACTATTTTGAAAATAAATGAAATTTTGTGTTACTATATTATTTCATAAATAGTTAAAGAAAAATTTAACATCATCATAAACTGAGAATTAAGGATATCAAGTCTGCAAAAGAACAGTCTGTTGTGTAATTAAATTCTACTTTAACTCTTAGGAAACAAAATAAGCCAAGCTGCATTAACTATATTAAGAATAACAGAACGCGCCCTGGCCGGTTTGGCTCAGCAGTTATAGCGTTGGCCTGCGGACCAGAGAGACCCGGGTTCGGTTCCCGCTAAGGAGATGTATCTCAGTTGCAGCTTGTCCCCGGCCCTGATTGGTCGTGCGGGTGGCAGCCACTCGATGTGTCCCTTTCATGTTGATGTTTTTCTCTCTCTCTCTCTCTGTTCCTCTCTCTCTCTGTTCCTCTCTCTCGCTCCCACTCTACCTGAACAAAAAAATGTCCTCGGGTGAGGATTAAAAAAAAAGAATAACAGAACGCTTCAGTTCTTAATGCATATAATAATATAAGTGGAATGACAAGAAATGCTGCAATCACTAATGCTACTTCTGGGGGGTGCAAATTCCGATCAATAAAGACTTGGTTGGAAGTCTTTATAAGCATATGTGACAGTATTACAGTGAGAGAGACTCCTCAAAAGTAGCTGTACACTCTCACACTGTTCCATGGAATCTGCACTCAGAAATGTGAAACTGATGCTTGACACAAAATTTAAAGATAGTAATTTACAAATAATTTCTTAAAACACAAAATCTTTAGAATTGTAGTAGTGTCTATTTGTGTGTGTGTTATTTTACCTTGAACTGTTCAAGAATCTGTTTTGCATTTGTAAACATGCTCTCTGCTTTGAAGACATCAGTGTTGTTAAGATAATCCACAGGAAGGATTCCCTGTAAATAATAAATACTGGTTTAATGTTAGTATTAACAAAGTTTAGGTTATTCCTATAAAAAAAATAGACTTACAATGAGGACAAGACACTTGGACAAATAAATTACTGGAATAATAAAACAAAAAAATCTTCCTTTAAACCATCAGTAAAAAATGTTTCATCATTTTTCTCAGAAAGTAAATATAATAAAGTAAATAAAGTAAAAGAGACGAATTAAGTTCAATAAAACCTAACATGTACTGAGAAATTACTATGCGCGAGGAAGTGAACTAAGTGCTGCACAGGCAAAGTACCCCTATGGTGGGTCACAATTAACACACTCTCAAAAGATAATAAAAGACAAAGTAAGACACATTACAGCATACTGTGCATATAAGAGTGAGGATTATTTTGTGAAACTTTTATTTCAGTTACACAAATACACACACACACACACACACAACTACAGGGCTCATATTACTCGGCATTCTAAATAAGATGTTTTGTTTATTTGATTTGAAGAATAAGAATGGCTGGTTGGAATGATTTTTTGTTTTTGTTTGTTTTTCAGCTCTTCGGGATCCACTTCCCATTCCTAGCAGCTTACATTCAATGTGGAGAGATCTCCCCCATTGGACATAGTGTAGTAGGTCTTCCTTTACTGAAAGGTAGACAAATAACCCAGGCTAGACCACTCAAATAGTAAGCATTGGAATTTGACTGTTGAGGGTCAAGGAACAAAAAGTATGATGGGGGCAATGCTACTCTCGCCTAGTGTAGACCATGGTTTAGTTCTTTCTTCCAAGTCTTCAGAGCTCTCTTGGTTCCTGTTCATTTCCAAGCCTGGTTTTTTAATATCCCTTTAAACCAACAAATCACCAATACCTTTTCAATAAACGTCCTTTAAATGGATTCAGTTTCTTCTGCTTGCAAACAAAAATTATTTGTCTGTTTTCATCACTTAAAACTAAATTACAAATATAGGCCCTGGCCGGGTAGCCCAGTTGGTTACAGCATCGTCCCAATAGGCCAAGGTTGTGGATTCAATACCCAGTCCGGGCACAAAAATGAACCAATGAATGTGTAAGTTAGTGGAACAACAGATCAATGTTTTTCTCTCTCTCAAATCAATAAATAATTTTTTTTAATTATTATTATTTTTAACTTTTTTTTTATTCTCACCGGAGGACATTTTTGCATTTATCTTCAGATAGAATAGAAGGGAGAGAGGGAGGGAGAGAGAGAGAAACATTGATGTGAGAGAGACACATCATCGACTGGTTGCCATTCATACAACCCCAACTGGGGCCAGGGACAAACTGCAACCGAGGTACGTGCCCTCAGCGGGAACTGAAGCTGAGACTCTCTGGTCCACAGGCTGACACTCTAACTGCTGAACAACCAGCCAGGGCTAAATAACTTTTTTATTTTATTTTATTTTATTTTTTTTATCCTCACCCGAGGACACTTTTTCATTCTTTGTTCAGATAGAGCAGGAGGGAGAGAGAGAGAGAAACATCGATGTGAAAGGGACACATCGAGTGGCTGCCACCCGCACGACCAACCAGGGACGGGGACAAACTGCAACCGAGGTACATGCCCTTAGCGGGAACCGAACCCGGGTCTCTCCGGACCGCAGGCCAACGCTCTAACCGCTGAGCCAAACCAGCCAGGGCTAAATAACTTTTTTAAAAAAACTAAATTACAAATATAAATCTATATACATTCTAGGAAATAAATGATTTTATTTTATTTATTTTTATTTTTTTATTTTTTTATTTTTATTTTTTTTACTGTTTGGAAATAAATGATTTTAAAGAAAAGCTATTAGGCTTTTACACTTAATTATAAATTGTGATATACATACACAATGATAAGGTATAACATATCTAGAAAAAAGTTTAAAGAAAAATACAGTTTTAAATGTAATCAAAGATTATTCAGACATATAAAAAGTAAATTTTACTGTATAGTATATTTTTATTCTGAGATTTGATAACAAAATTTTGTTCCTTACCACTGAATTGAGGGGAAAGGGAACTCCGATGAGAGAAGCCATCAATGGTGCAATATCAGCCTACAAACAGAAAAAGTTCAACTTTAAGAAGTCTACAGATACCAACAAGAAAATGAAATAATTTAATGCAACTATGCTGTCATACTAGCAGCATATCTATTATAATTCATGATTTTCAAACATTTATTTACTACGCATTAGATGTTGATCCCTAAAAATGTCACTTGCTAGGGGTACAAGACCTTATAAAAAAATAAATTAGAAACCATTAAGAGCTCCAAATGTAAAACATATTAAAACAAAAACTTACTTATCTTAGTAGTAGCTAGAGATTGACCACTTTACATAACAGATTTTCAGTATTATGAAAAGGATGCCTTAGACAACAACAAAAAAAATAGCAATAGCAGACTTTCACTGGAGAAATGTATATATTAATTAAAGATGTATCAGAAGAAGGAGGTTTGGCTAGCCAGTGAAGTCCAGAAAAGACAAACCAGGTAAAAAGCTCTGCAGACAGAAGACCCAGATACGTTGGGATAGCGCCCCTTCAAGTCCAGTGTCCCAGAAGAGTGGGTCATGCTGTCTGTCTCCACGTCCTCATCTCCCCAGCACGCCTTAGCCCACTCTGACTTGACCTTTCACCATCCCATAGACAACTCTCCCTGAGAGAGCTAATAACCTTCATTTTTCCAAATCTTATTATATTTACTGCCTGCTTTTATATTAGTCCTTATAATTTTTCAGGCAGTAAAGTGCTTGGATGTTGGAATGCCCAGTTTCAAATCCTTGCTTGTAATCTCTGAGACCTTGGGCAGGTAAGTCATTTAACCTCTCTGATGCCTGTTTTCTTATTGGTTAAAAATAAATAAAAGTTTCTCCCTTCCAGAGTCATGGCATGATTAAATGAGACTACACTTACAAGGTACCTGGCACACGAAGGCCCTGCAATCACTGGTGGCTACCGATGCGGTTGTGATTAGCAATCACTTGTCAGCAGCACCGTGCAGACCACTCGCTTCTTGGCCTCCGCTGAGCATCTTCCATCTCACCATGCCTCCTTTTCAGATCCTTTCTCTAGTCCCCCATCTAAAGAAGAAGTTTGGTCCCAGGTTCTCAATCCTTCTCACTTTTTACCACCTGGACTCTCTTTACTAAGTACCACCCCACAGAACTCTGGGAAATGCCAGTGGCCTCCTAATCGCCTTCTCCCCTCCCCCAGAATCCACTGCTGGCCTCCTCTAATCTGTTCTCCATGCCGCAGCCCACGAAATCCTTACACAAAGCAGCGGATCACGTCACGCTCCAGGAGTCAAACACTTTACGATTAAGTCCACAAGGCCCACGAGTCCTGCGTGGTCTAGTGCGACCTTCTGCCTCACAGCATGCCAGGCACTGTTGCTCCATACACCGGCTTTAACATACCATTAACATACCTTTAACGTGCCATGTATCCTCTTATTGGAGTTCTGTGTACATGTGGCTTCCTCTGCCTGAAAAACCCTCCTCCTACCTTAGTCTGGCAGCTCCTATTTTTTCTTCAATCTCCACTCAGCCCTCAATTTCTCAGGAAGCCCTTGCTGACCACACAGTCTACCAGATACAGAGGTGCCACCTTACTGACAAGGCATATGTTCCAAGACTCCCCTGTGGATGCCTGAAATTGCAGATAGTACCAAACCCAATATATACTATGTTTTTCCTGCACATACAAACCTTTTCACTTAAAGGAAGCACTTTAAGGGTTCTCTTTGGCATATCTGAACTGCCAGCATCCCTACTCTTGCGCCTTGGGGCCATTACTAAGTAAAATAAGGGTGACCTAAACACAGTCTTGCGATACTACAATTGTCAGTCTGATAACTGAGACAGTGTGGAAAAGCTGGACAAAGGAATGATGCACATCCTGGGTGGGATGGAATAAGATTTCATCACACTACTCAGAATGGCATGCAACCTATAACTTATGAATTGTTTGTTTCTGGGTTTTCCATATAATATTTTCAGACTGTGGCCATGGAAAGCAAAAGTGCAGATATTTTCAGACTGTGGCCATGGAAAGCAAAAGGTGGACTACTGTACACTTGCTCTATTCTCTCATGGTTGTCCACAGCTATAATTTTACACTTATTTGTATAATAGTTTGATTAGTATCTGTTCTCACCTCTAAAATATAAGCTTCCCTGGAAAGGGATTGTGTTTGCTTTTATTTACCATTATATCCCTGACACAATATTTAATGATAATGTTTGCTCGATGTTTAAATAATACTGCAGACACATAACAATGTTGATGGAAGAAATGAATAAATTCTCATCTAATGTAGACCTGAAGTAGGGTTACTGAGAAAGCAACAGCCAAACCCATATTTACTTTTTTTATTATAACCCAGTCTGACTGTAAATAAAACATGTTCTTGTTCTATGGTCTTCAAGTTACTCCTATCCCTTTGACAGTCATTTTTACTGCAAATTAATAAATTGCTATTCTGATTTTACACATTTTCATTTATTTGGGTAACACATATCCATCCAGAGAAAAGAAAGCATTCTTAATATGCTGAGAAAGACCAGGCTTCTGCAGCCACAGGCCTGAAAAGGAGCTCCTAGGCCTTGGTTTATCCACCACAGTAAGGAATGTCAGCTTGCAAGCTGACCTGAAGAAGGTAGGAGCTTCCAGCCACTTTGGTGGCTACATAACAGTGATGTCATGCTTTCTACAAACAGCGAAGATGGCTATTTAAGTAGCATCTATTCAACAATGAAAATTCTGTGCTTCCCATTTCTAGATGCTGCTGCTAATCTAACTTCATCAGGTTGGCCATACATTTTCCTGTCATTTAAGGTTTCTAGGTGGGTAATCTATACTCCCATCATTTTTTTTCCCATTGCATTTGTAAGGGTCCTGGACAGACTTAAAAATAAAATGTGTTAATAAAAAAGAAACAGTAACTGACGTACTATAGGAAATAAATCTATAATGAGGTTTTTATTAGATCTACGCTTAAAGCAACTAAGCAAGGCAAGCAACCATGACAAGAAATCACAGAAATTTAACAGGCATGCAAATTTCAATTTACATATAATTCTTTAATTAGTCAGTGTTACTTGGAGGGAGACTTCTCCTTTTAGTTTTACTTGAGGCTTTTTATATTTTGTCAAAAGAAAGATTAGTTGGGTTATAATATTTGCACTGAAAGGACTTCCCTTGCTAATTGAAATGTTTTGAAAGATCACTTATCATCATTATAATTATTTCAGGGTGTTTTTTGTCTAAACTTCTTACAGTAGATAAAAGTAAGTTCGAACATGAATAAGTGAGATGAATACCTGATTGATATCTTGCCTCTTCCAGTACTCCAATTTCCATTCTGAAAGACACAATTAGACACAAAAGCTGATGTTAAGATTTAAAAAGAATGGATCATGTGATTATTATGAGTGGCCAATGCTTGATGAAAAGCAAAAGTATTGGAAAGTCTATTTTAAGGCAGCATGAATCAAAAGGGTACTTAAAAAGGCAGAGCTGTGTACTTTTAAAATGCTATTCTTAAAAGAATAACTGAAAAGTAAATGTTGAGTGTTTTCTGTGATAATTAATTAGACTTTCAAAATGCTCATTTAGAGATAACTGTTTCAAATACCAAAAGGCTAAGGAAGGAACACTTAAAGGCACGATGATAACAACTGTTAGCATGCCTCCAGTCATTACAATCCTGCTCCAGGGCGGTATTAAGACAGTGATAGTCCATTGGCCAATCTAAGTTCTTTTTTCTGTAATGGCAGTTGCTTGCAAAATACTTGAAATTGTAGCTGTGATGCACCTACCATCATTAATCCCAAATGTTAAAATAGTATAAGTTATTATTAAAACTACCTTCAAAGATAACCTCATTCCTCTATCTTTCTACATGTTAAGTTCAGAAATTTCAAAAACCATGTCTTTTTTTTTCTGCATACATGAATTTATTTTGTTGTTAAAAGTAGCAGACAACATTGCAAAACTGTTTCAAAAAACGTGAACACTGTTAAGAAATAAGAAATATATGAACATAAACCATATATGTAAGACACTAGTAAATCATTCCATGTATTTGGCATGTATTACCCTTTTTTGTTTTCCCTGTTGAATCAGCTACAAAGCTCTATAAGGATTAAAAATATCTTAAAAAATAAATAAGTAAAAAATAAAAATATCTTATATATTCTAGTAAATGGGAAAAATAAAATTAGAGACTTTAATAGTTCATCTGACTGAGATTGTGATATTACTGGCAAAAAGATCATTTCTGAAATAAATTATTATATATTTACTATTTTATTTGTTTTGTTTTATTTATTATTTTATTAATTTGTTTTTGTTATAGATGTTTCTCCTTTTTTCCCCATTGACACTCTCCTCCCCATTCCCCTACCCCTCAAAAATCATGTCTTGATTTAATGACTTTAAGATATATATATTATGTATTACCAAAAAGGTTCTACGATATTTTTATAATAAAATGTCCTTTAATAAGCTAATGAAATTTAAAATGTATTCCTGATTCTACTAGTCAGTTACTAAAGATTCATACTAATCACCTGATGAGGAAAGAGACTATTCCCTTTCTCTGTAACTTATGATACTTAATATTCATATAAGAAAAACTACATTCTTTCTGTAATGATTTTTGAAGTCATGTGATTCTAAAACATTAATTCATTTAGAAATAAAATGCCAAAATACAGTTGTAGCTCCTAAATACAAACATACTTTTTAACCTAGCTTCTATTTATACCCAATCTAATCCAATGGCCACAGAGTACAGGAATATAAAATGATGCATCTACACTGGAAAACAGCTTGGCAGTCTGCAAAAAATTAAACAGAGTTTCATATGATCCATTTATTCTATTTCTATGTATCCAGCCAAGAGAAATTAAAACATATGTCCACACAAAAACTTTCAAATAAATCTTCATGGCAGCATTACCATAAAAGTCAAAAATGTGAAAAGCACCCAAATGTCCATAAGATTATTGTGTAAATAAAATGTGGTATATACAGCAATGGAATATTATTCAGCTATAAGAAATAAACTACTGATAGGTGCTACAACACAGATGAACCTTGAAAGCATTATGCCATGTGGAAGAAGCCAGACGCAAAAGACCATATAGAAAATGATTCCTTTAATATGAACTGTCCAGAACAGGCAAATCCAGAGATGCAAAGTAGATTAATGGTGGCCAGGTGATGGGGAGAGGGAGAAATAAGGACTGACTGCTAATGGGTTTTGTTTTTTTGGAGGGGGTGGGTTATAAAATATTTTGTAATTAGGTAGTAGAGGTGACAGCACAATCTTATTAATACACTCAGAAGAATAAATTGTACAATTTTATTTTATTTTTTTTAATTCTCACCCAAGGACATTTTTTGATATTTTGTTCAGACAGAGTGGGAGGGAGAGAGAGAGAGAGAGAGAAACATCGACATGAAAGGGACACATCGAGTGGTTGCCACCCACACGACCAAACCAGGGCTGGGGACAAACTGCAACCAAGGTACGTGCCTTAACCGGGAACTGAACCCAGGTCTCTCCAGACCGCAAGCCAATGCTCCAATTGCTGAGCCAAACCGGTCAGGGCATAAATTGTACAATTTTTATATGTGAATGTTATGGTATGAGATTTTTATCTCAATAAAAAATAAATTTAAAAAAAGAAAGCAAATGTCTAAGGAAATTTAGTATACAGACCGAAAAGAATCATTTATGATAAAAAGAGTTGAACACGGCTTGAGTCTGAATCTCTGGAAGTTTTAAAAGCAAAACTTCTAGGCCTCACCCAGACTCATGACATCAAAATATCTAATCACAAGACCTGGAAATCCTTATTTTTTAAAATCTGTATTTCTTAACAAAATACAGCTTTGATGAGTCTGATGCAGGTGATCCAAAGTAAGACATTTAAGAGGGATCGGTTTTGTCCAATTAGTGAAAACATTGGAACTCTGAAAAAAATCTTACCTTACAAAATAAAATAAGAAGGGCTCTAGGAAAAATGGAACTCTTTCTTCATGGACTGAGAAGCAAGGAGGTTTGGGCAACACAGAGCCTTCAAAAGTACAAGAGACAGGGCAAAATCTGTCCAGTTGTGAAACATCAATTATGACATGTGTGATTTATATGACTGACAGTCTTTGCAAATAAGATTTGACTCAGGGTTTAATCTACATCCCAGTACAAATAAGGAATGTGGGGGTGGAGCAATAGTATAATTTATACTTGAACTTTCATAAGGCAAATGACTAAGACTATGTATTTCAAGCTGAATATTACACACCAAATAATATGAACTATACCAAAGTAATACATAGAAATAGTAGTGGCACAATATCAAAAGGAAAACTACAACTTAAATAGATTTTTAAAAGTTAAACTTTGGTCTTATTTAAAAATGTTATATTTATAAAAACAATAAAGGTTTATACCTTTCAAATATGCATCATTAAACTGTTGAGCTGGTACTTTTTGGGGGTACTTGATTCCAGCTCCCCAAGTGACAAAAGGAGTATAGGTCTCTGAAGGATGACCAGCCCCATGGGAACCTACAAAGAGGACACCAAGATTAAAAAGACATGTATATATAAACTTATTCCTAAATATTTATTTTTTAAGTTAATCGACCTATAGTTAATTCTAGCCACCACACTCCCAAATGCTTGCAACTAGCTCATATTACAATTAAGTTTTAAAATATTCCCAAAGCAAGTCAGTGCATCAACAACAAATGGGCATAAACAAATAAGCAAACATGAAAGGCAGAACGCTTGCTGAGGGACTGGCTGGAAGAATAAGAACAGCAAGGCTCGGAGAAGATGCCACTAGAGTGGCTCCGGAGACAGAGAACGCGCCTTTGGGGAGTAACGAGCCAAGTTTGGAGCAGGCAGCCGAGGCCAGGGCTTCTCTGGAGAGGATGGCTAAGTCTCTATATGTTTCTCTTCCAGGTCACTCTGGCTGGTGCAGCCCAAAGCCCTGCACAAAGTGGAACCAGCTCACTAGAATTACATAGTTATATGGGGAGCTCAACTTTGTCCCATTCTGTTCTCTATGCACACACTGTGCTTGCCTTGGGAATCTCACAGGGAGGGCAGGGTCACCTAGGGTGGATCTTCAGTAGTCCAAGGTCCCTCAGGAGTGCCACCTTAACCTTGCCCCTCTGCCACCATATACAGTTACTAGATGGATAAATTCTGGTACTTTAGTTTTCTCCTCCCTACTTTTCTCTAATTTTTCATTTTGAGAATATATTCCTTCTATACTTAGAAGATTCTTTATATAAGATCAGAATTTTTTAAACTAACATTTTAAGCATACAATTATGTACCAGACACTTCCCATACACTAAGGCATGTAAATCTCCTCAACATTATATCTGGGAGGTCCGTTTAACACTGCTTTCACTATAAAGTACACATCGCTTAAAGACAGACTAACCCCAGTCTGTCATTCCGTGGTCAGAGGTAAAGACAAATGCCGTTTTCTCATCATTTCCATAAAACTCTTTAATCAGGGCCACAATTTCTTTAATTCCATTATCAACTATTTTAATATTGTCCTCATATTCCCTGTTTAAAAACAAGCAAGAGAACAAATTACATTAATTTGGAAAAATCAAACTTATTTAACATGAACTCACAACATTCAAAGTTAGAAACTCCTGAAATACTTTTAGATTTCATCTTTAATATTTCAAACTCAGAGCTCTTTAGACTGTTAAAAACAATGTTTTCTCAGTTTAAAGAAGCAAAAGGACATGAAATTGTTTTCAGAAATGATTTAAGAGGGGGATACTGATTAGCAAATACATTTTATTGAGTGCTTTTTAAGTCTCAAATACAGTAACGATGCCTGTCAAGTTCATGTCTCTCATAATGCAAACTATATTGTCCTTGCCACATTAATAGGAAAGGAAAACCGTTTCATATATAGAATATTTTCATCCCTTGGACTGTTTGTGATATAATATATAATAAAATGTAATATAATGTCATATCATATCAGATAGGTTTTGAACAAATTATACTTAAGTTTTCCAGATCTGTATGCTTAAAAATGGCTAGGATGGAAAGGCTGGTTGAACAGGATGGTTTGGCATGAACTCTATCAGTTAAAACAGTGCATGATGTGAAAAGGGGGAGCAGGAAATATTCATTACAGGCAGCTACCCAACAGGCTTTACAGTTAGACTAATCTAAACCAAAGTCGAAATAAAACATAAAAGTATAACGTGGATTCTTCCCCTTCTTACGGTCTGCAAAAAAGTGAAAAAAATACTTGCTATTCTATAGAAGGAGAGCCATTAAAATATAGTATGCAAAACTTTATATAATACTGATTAAATGGAATTCATAAGGAATAGCTAGTTGTATCTTTTGTGATATGAATATTAACACCATAAAATGCTATATTGAGATTTACTAAATTTATAAAATACAAAATTTTTTTCTCTGCCTTGATAGATGAAAAATACAGGATATATTTTACTTATATTAATGTGTAGTCTAGCCATAGTACATGTGATTTTAGCCTATATATCAATCTATAGCTCATATAATCAAGAACTTATTCTACTTAAGAGTTATTTAAAATATAAGTTCTATTGTGATAATCACACAAAAAATTATAATACTTTAAAAGTTCAAGCAGAATTGTTGTTTCCCACAAAAACAAGAAATTCGACACAGCATTAAAATTACCTCGATGTTGGTCGGTGGGCATGTCCGTTTGTATCTATTCCTAATAGATGTAAGAAAAAAACGATTTTTTCTTCATTTAGTTTAGAAAACAAAGACTGGTTGTTTCTAGCAGCATGAAAGAAGTCCTATATGTGACAAATCAGTAAAAAAAAAAAAAGTAGTTCATTTATTGTACTTATAAAATAATTCTGATGAAAACATTTAATTAAACTTATACAAAGCTATAAAATTATCTTATTTTGTTTAAATTTGCCCTTAGGCCTACCACCACCAGATCCTTGTCATCATTTGAGACATCTATGTTCAAATATAGAGAGAGTTATTTTCTGTGGCCAAAAAGAGGTTATAGAAAGGAGATCTGGCCCGGGCCGGTGTGGCTCAGCGGTTAGAGCGTCGACCTGCGGTCCTGAGAGACCTGGGTTCGTTTCCCGCTAAGGGCGCGTACCTCGGTTGCAGTTTGTCCCCGGCCCTGGTCGGTTGTGCGGGTGGCAGCCACTCGATGTGTTCCTTTCACATCGATGTTTCTCTCTCTCTCTCTGTTCCTCTCTCTCCCTCCCACTCTACCTGAACAAAAAAATAGGAAAATGTCCTCGGGTTAGGATAAAAAAAAAAAAAAAAGAAAGGAGATCTGATTTCATGAAGATCTCGTAATATTGAATAAAATATAGAACATGGCCGGGTAGCTCAGATGGTTAGAGCGTCATCCCGATACATAAAGGTTGCAGGTTCAATCCCCAGTCAGGGCATTCTCTCTCGCTCTAAAATCAATAAATAAACATTTAAAAAATATGTAGAAGATTAAAGAACATCTACTTTATTTTATAATTGCACTACATTTAAACAGCATTTTTCAAAAGACTTCCACACATCTCAGGGTGCCACACCGTAAGAGACTGGTTGAGGTTTATACCCAGCATGATTCAGCAAACTAGGAATAAAAAACAGGTTAAGTGAATTCCAATCTAGGGCTCATTTTACTGTCAGAAACATGTCATTAAAAAAGATTAAAAATGGTTATCTTTTTAAAATTATTTTTTAAACTTCTATCAATTGGTTAATGTAGAATGTATAATTTCTTAGAATCCAGTCTTTTAAAAATAGTGTGCTATAATATAGAACTTTTACATCCACAGAGTAGAAAACAACTAAGATGCACTTACTAACAAATCAGTTTCTAGTACTTAAGGTAGAAATATGTGTTGCATATTAACCACTCAATAGCACGCACCTTAACACGATCAAAAACCCATGTATCCAGTTTTGTAACATCCTGGGCACCAAAATCCTCATTGTTAGCATCATAACTATATGCAAAAACATGGTTTCCTACACCTGAAAAGGTAATGGGGGGGGGTGTTTTTAACAATCTTTTAAACTGTTAGAAACATGAAGTAGTCATTTAAAGGTTTTTGTGAGTAACCAGAATTTTTCACAAAGCATTTTGTATTATGATGGAGAAGAGAAAGATGGGAGGAATAATTAATATTTATGTACCAAGGGCAATGCTTTGTACTTTAACACATGCTGTTGCATTTTGTTGTCACAATAACATACTCTAATTTTAGACACACTACATGTAAGTTAACTAAACTTCCATAGTGACAATGCTAATACACAAAAATAAACACCAAAGTTTGTCTCCCTATGAGGAAGAAACTATTCAAAATTTCTTTTGTGAATTAGGATGTTATAATCTAAAGCAGATTAGGAAGTTACGAAACTTCCTAATGCAAGAAAAAATTCAAATAGTCACTTCTCTTACTTAAAGATTATTTGTATATTTCTCAATATAAGGGAATAAATATTATTGTCAATCAGTTTGACAGGGTAAACAAATATTTGCAATATTTTATCAAGAATCCAATCAACTTACTGAATTGGAGTTAGATAGGCTCTTACAGATCATAAGAGAGAGAGAAAATGAAGTAATGACAATCTCTTACAACATCAGTTTAGCTCTACTGATGCTAGCTATTCCACTGCTCAGCCATTCCAATCCTCACATCCTATGTGAAGATAGGTTTGTTGGTTACCATAGGAAATGGAACAGTCCCACTGAACTGTCTCTGATTCAGGCATTGGTCATGTCATGTCATATCCGAGAAGTAGGAAGGCAACTTTAGTAAGCCATTGCAACTCAATCCATCCTCACTAACACCAGCCCCCCCAAAAAGCTAAATTGCTGTCCAAAGAAGGGAGTATACGAATGGTAAGCAGTTTGTGGTTTGGGGTCTTGCCCTACATAATAATGTTCTATGAATATCATAATGCTGAATATGTATTTTGTTTTCAAGACATAATAACCTTCAATAATTCCAATTATTATAATTACACCCATGGCTAAGTATAATGTTACAAAACCTTTCATTAAGTGAAATGATCAATAATTCTTCTCCCACTAAAAGGCATTTAATAACATTAAACTGAAATAAAATCCAAGTGATTTTAGAAAGTAATATAAATTTGTAATCAACAGATGTTCAAATACTTGTAGATTCAAACACAGAAACAAACACAAAACAATCCAAAGGGCAAGATCTTGAATATATGAAAACAGGAATCATAAATATAAATTTTAATGTTCAAATCTTTGTGACTATCTACCAATTAAAAAAATTTTTTTTTACCAACTTCTTAATAATTTATCAATGTAAAATGAACCAGACATCAACATCATCATCATAAGGAGTTATAGAATAAACATTTTGCTAAATGTTTCACATGAATTATCTAATTTATTCCTAAAAATTTAGATAGAAATTATCATATTTATAAAAATGCAAACTGAAGTTCAGAATTTATCTAACTTGTCCTAGATTATAAAGCTGTTGAGTGTTAAAGCCATGTGTCATTCCATCGAATCCAAGACACTAATAACTTTATGATGTGCCCATATTTCAAGTACAACTAAGAAGGAAAAATCACATTGGCATGTCTGTCCATTGCAACAATACATGCTTATTTCAGGAATGTTGAGTATGTTAAAACGTGTATCTCAAAATCAATAAATTGCGTTAGCATATAAAAAATTACTGGGTTAATTTATTAACCTATTTACTATCCGAGAAAATATAATAAAGACTCTTACTTTTGGCAAACATATTCAAGATATCTGGGCTTCCCCAGCTCCATGTGTACTTGCTTTCATTGATAAGAGAATCAAATTCTACAGGATTTTCTTTCCATCCTTCAGGTAATTGAAGAAAAAAAGCAAATAGTAACAACAGTGATATATGCTTGGTGAAGTATTAGTATAGTCCCCTAAACAAGTCTTCTTCAAATAATAACAACGAGGATTAATCACACAACAAATGCAAAAGTAATAATAGATTTTGTTACATGTATCATGTCACAGATTTCTTAAAGCTTATAATGAATAATTTACTTCTTACTAAAATACAGAATTATTTTGAACGTTTGAGAATTGACATCTAGGAAAACTATAGAACCATCTAATCACATTCTTTTAATAGCACAAGATGATACAAGACTAAAACTTAATTCCTGAGTCAATACTAGTGTGTGATTATAAAAGGCCTGCTAAAATACTTGTCAGAAGTATCTCAAAACATCCTTCACCTTGTGTCATGATTCAGGGTTAAAGAAGCAATGTTTACATAAATTTTTCACGTGATAAAATTGTCTAAATAGACAGTACCTTTGGCAACTGCACTAACATCTTCATAAAACCCAGCTATCAGGGCTACATGACCCGGCCGAGATTCTGTTGGCACATGTGTATGAGATATCCCCCAGCTGCCTTCATGCATTATGATATTCCTAAAAGATATTACGGATGAATAGTTAACACAGACTATAATTAAATGCTCTTTGAAGGCTTTGGGAAAATAAGATTATACAGAAAGAGTCAAAACCAAGAGTGAGTCGAAATTTAAAAAGGAAAGAAATCCTAATCCCAGCTAAACCCAGGCCCAGCCTCCCACCAGTGGATTCAGTAGCTAAGTGAGCCCAGGTGGACGAACAAAGAACCACCCAGCCATTGCACAGAATCATGAGACAAAATACACCACTGATGTTTTAAGCCCCAAAGCATTAAAATGGTTTGTTACCTAATAAATAACTGACATATATAATAAAATTCTACCACTGTTAAATTTTATTAGGTCTGCCCTGGCCAGTTTGGCTCAGTGGTTAGAGCGTCAACTCACAGACCAGAGAGTCCCAGGTTCAGTTCCCACTAAAGGCACATACTTTGGTTGTGGTTCGTCCCCGGTCCTGATTGGGGTCATGTGGGTGGCAACCAGTCGATGTGTCTCTCCCACATTGATGTTTCTCTCTTTCTCTTCCTTCCTCCTTTCCTCCCGCTCTATCTGAAGATAAATGCAAAAAGTCCTCGGGTGAGGATAAAAGAAAAAAATGTATTAGGTATGATGATGGTATTGTGGTCATGTAGGAGAAAGTCCTTGTTTTTACATACACGGTTGAAGTGTTTAGGGATGACATGTCATATAATATCTTTTTACAAATTTTTATTCTTTTTAGAAATTTTCAATTACAGTTGACATTAGGTATTATTTTATATTAGTTTCAGGTGTAAAGCATAGTGTTTAGACATTTATATAATTTACAAAGCAATTCCCCTAATAAGTCTAGTACCTACCTGACATCATACATAGTTATTTCAACTCTATTGACTATATTCTCAACTTCTTTAGTGATATAACGAAAACTGAACTTAAACAGAAAAAGGAAGGCATAAAGAAATTTGGATACCTCTATTTAAAATTATTTTGATCGGTTCAGATGATACTCTTTCCAGAGATGTCTTTGTTCCGGTTGACATGCTTACCTAATAAATGGTGCTCTAGAATTTCTATTTTCATCAACTTTATAAAGGGCATCTGCCCGCAGCCCATCAGCAACAATGAGCACTAGTCTTCTTGCTGGAGCGGGCAATGGCGGAAACTGAGGAGCCATCCCATGAACCAAAGGAGATGTAAAATAAATGTCAAAGATGGAGGCAAAGAACACAAAATGTACGAGCAATCCCACAATAAAGAAGAGCAGCATATCGCATATCCAGTGTAACTAATTAATCTTCAAGAAAAGCTGAAAGAGGGAGCAAAATTAAATTTGGGTAAACCTTAATGCAATGATATATTTTCACATATCTTGACGACTACATGTAGATGGAACATGTATTTTAAAATATTACATAATTCACAACTTCATTTTCGGTGGTAACAATAAACATTATTTAACAATGAGATGATACTGAAATAAAATGTATGATAAAGTACATTCAAGCAAAAAGAAAATGGTCAAGTATAATAAGCAATTAGCTTCAATAAACTATAATAAAATCAAATGTATATTAAGCTCATAAAAACTAACATAGGATAAAAAAAAAACAACAACAAAGAAAAAACTAAATAAGCCCTAAAATGAACTGGGTTCAGTCAAATCAAATCCTGTATAAAACAGAAAATATAACTCATGGTGTTCTTGACTACCCATGACAACCACTGATATTCTCAGAATTTTAACACCATTGAAATGTGTAACTCCAATCATGACACAACCATATTTCAAAGAAAAGCAAACTGAGTATGTTTAAAACCAAACTCACGACCACCCCACAGCCCTCTTTGTTTAGGTGGGAACCCTCCTAATTCCCTAGTGTTCAGTCTCAGGCCATGGCACCACCTCCCACCCAGATATGCAATCAGAGAATTAGGAGTCTTTCATTTTTTTGTTCTGCTTTTTTCAAAATGCAAATCTGAACCTCTTACCCTTTATATAAAACCCTTCATTGCCACTCCCCAACCCAGATCAAGACTGAAATCCTTAATATGACTAACAAGGTCTTACCTGGACTGGCCTCTGCCTCTCTTTCTAGCCTGTCCCATAGCTTTATGGCACCTCGCCACACTGGCCCACTTTTATTTCTTTACGTACCCCACGTGGTAAGACCTTTATGAGTACAGTTCCCTCCACAGAATGCGCTTCCAAGCTACCCTCCATCCTCTCTCCCCAGTTTCTCACAACATCTGCCTACATTTTCAAGCATCATTTCCTCTGGGACTGTGTAGTCCAAATCAGAAACCAAAACCTTTACTTCAGTTTGTAATTACACAGCTAAGTCGCTGACCATTTGGATTACTGTCTGTCTCTGTCACTTAACCATAATTCATTTCATCACAGCAAGACAAGGCTGCTCCAGGACTCATCACAGTCCTAGGCACCTAGCCAGGACTCAGATGTTCACTGAATAAATTATTTAGGATTATCATTTCAAAGGTAGATGTAATATGGACTTTTGCCACCAGAGGCTGCCTTGCTTCTCTTTTTATTCCTCCAGAACATAACACAAAAACTGTGAAGATTCAGGATACTTAAAAACACACACACAACTTTTATGCTTAAGTCATTTACTATACATAAAATTAGTTATTTCAAAATATCATCCCTCACTTACCACTTATATTATTATTGCCAACACATGTAAATTAAGCAATATTAATATTTCTCTTCAAACAGAATCACATTTTTTTCAGATTTACTAAAAAAGAACATTTTTCATGGTTCAGTCATTTAGAAACTTCTCAAGTAAGTGAATAACTACTAAAAAAATTAAAAGACACATATCCATGTACCAATAAAAGTTTATGCCCAGAGAATGTTTACTACACATTAAAAAACAATAAAAATTAGATATTTCTAAAACTTTAAGTCAACTGCAACTTGCATTTGAAATTTTACTTGTGGTTATTTTAAGACTATTAAAGCCAAAATAATTTTTTGCACATAAAAAAGATTAAAGTGCTTGAATAAAAAAAATAATCTGGCCCTGGCCAGTTTGGCTCAGCGGTTAGAGCGTCGGCCTGCGGTCCAGAGAGACCTGGGTTCGGTTCCCACTAAGGGCACGTACTTCGGTTGCAGTTTGTCCCCGGCCCTGGTTGGTCGTGCGGGTGGCAGCCACTCGATGTGTCCCTTCACGTCGATGTTTCTCTCTCTCTCTCCCTCCCCCTCTATCTGTACAAAAAAATGGACAAATATCCTCGGGTGAGGATAAAAAAAAAAAAAATAATAATAATAATAATAATCTGCTACATTTTCATCACTAAGATACAAACTTCAATGAGGATCCTGATGATTCAATGAAACATTAGCTGTAAAGACCAACATTAATGCAAATCTTACTAAGTAGAAAAAAATTCTCAACATATTAATAATAAACTAGAATTTTATGATACATTATTTATCAGCAATTATTAATACATTTTAAATTGATAGGTAAACTTCTAGATTATAGAGCAAGTACTTACGGAGAAGACTGGCCAGTTGATTTGTTATGAGCATGGAAGGTCACATAAACAAGTCCATGATTACAGAATATAAAGTAGAATCAGGAAACTAGATTTGTACAAGAAGTCAATTATGAAGAACTTCTACATCCAACTTCTTAGAACTCTCTGAAGAAACAAACATATTTTAAATCTACGTTTAACCTATATTTTAGAAGTCAGACCCTAAATTAAAGCTATGTCCTTTGAATCCTATGGACAATTGTTTTGTTTCTGGTTAATACTTGTTTTATTTTTAAAAACCTGTCAAATATGTTCAATATACTAATATTGCATTAATTGATACCTGGCACTGTGACAAGCACATTCCTAATTCTGTGTACTTTCATTATCCCCTTGACAATTAGATGAATGTAAGTGAGGTGAGAGAAGTCAAGTAACCTTTTTAAGGTCTCACAGCAAATAACTGGTACAACTGGGATACAAACTTTGGGCTCTTCCACCTGATAAGAACAATCTTCTTCAAAGACCCTAACTGCAGGAAATCTCTAACATCCCCATTACAGAAATGGAAATAATGTATATAAACTATCCATTTCTAATCCCTTCCCATGCCATTCCTAATCTCTCCCATTCATTCCTCCATTTCAGAAATTGGTTCCACTGTCAATCTCTCAGGCAAAGTCAATTACAATAAGGATCAGCGATCCTTTTGGTCAAGAAATATCTAACAGGATACAGCATTAGTTGTTTTTAATACTACTTTCCTAAAATGAGCTTTCTTTCCATGTCTTTCTTCAATATATGTCACAGAAAATATTTAGAATTCAAACATAAGGAGCTAATGTTCTACAAAAAAATATTTTACATTCTTAGTACTAACAATGTCCAAAAACTTCTAACAAAAACCCCGAAGCTTCATTCAAATGAAAATTTTAGTTTACTGAGCCTGGGTAAACTGAAATTAAAGCCTACACTTAACTGTTGGCGTACCTTTACATGTAAACCAATAACCTGACCTAAGGTTACATAAGAAGACTCTATTTTAATTTTTCCACAGAACTAAAGGAGATACTTTACTGCCTGGATGTAATATGTAACTTACCTGATAACATAACTGTTACCTATTTACTTTGGTCTTTAAAGGAAGCTATACAGAAAGAAAGAAAATCTTATACCTGCAAAAATAGCAGTTTATGAGTGAAGAAAACGGAAGCTCTTAAGAATAGCACTCTTAATACTGCTGGCTAAAAAGGAATATCCCCTTTACCACCTCCAACTGTAAGGAATGACATGAAAGATCAACGTTGAACTTACAAATTTAGTATACTTCCTTTATGTGCTAACATTCGGTAAAGAAAATCAAAGCTGTCTAAAGCATCGAAGTTTTAAAACAATGAAGTTTCACTGTCAGTACCTGAACTCCAGCCTAAATGGACAAATTGCAAGGCATAGTGGGAGAAGTATGGCTTTGAACGTTAAGAGAACTAATTTCAGTTCCTTCGAATATTAATGAGTGGAGTTAACTTGACCAGGTCAATGAACGTTTCTGAGCTTAAATTTACTTGTTTCTCTACTTGATATTTGGAAGGGTCCCTGCTGTGCAAATTATGTATCAGGTCCTAAGTGTTTATTGAGTCCCTAACAGCTTGTTATCCAAGTTGAGGCTCTCGGGGTAGTCACAGATTCAAGCCAATCCACTTTCCATTTACTACTCTCTGCACCGCCTACGCCCCACCCACCTGCCGTTTTACAGCACTCACTCCAGGGCGGGAAGACGCTCCCCAGGTGTCAGCAGCCAGGGCTGTTGCCAGGCCTCTAGCGCAAGCAGGCGCATGGCTGGGACGGAAAGGGAGAGAAAAGAAGCCAAATTCTAACTGCTTCCCTGGGCACCCGCTACACGTGCAGGGAAAATGTCCTCAGTTAGCAGCAAACAGAAAGTGAAGCGTGCTAAAGCAGCAGCGCGTCTGCGGGCGCGGGGCCGGTTACGGTGCCACCGCACCTCTGTGCACTGGCCCCCGGATTTTACCTGGGGCTTAGCCCGGTCAAGCCTGATCCGGGAATGAGGCCTCCTCAGCGCGAAGGCAGGATCCAACTCTGGCAGAGTATCCTCTGCTCCCTGAAAGGATAGCCAAAAAAACGTCCCAAACTCGCGGTCACAACCGCTTCTCAACCACAAAACGCCCCCTAACATCTACCTAGCCAGCAACTATTCTCGCGATAATTCTAGGACCAGTCTTCCGTAACCCCGCCTCCTCCTTATTTCTCTGGCCAATCAAACAGCAGAGGGGCGGGGTTTTACCTTTGAGCCAAGGGCGGCTTTGCTCGCGGGTGTTGTGAACGGACGGGACTGGGGCGGGGCGGGCGTAAGACAGGGCGGGGAGAGGGGCCGAACACTCTCTATTTCTCGCGAGACTGAAGACCAGGAAGACGCCTGCAGAGCCGGGCTGCTGGTGCAGCCACGGCTGAGGCAGCGGGTCCTGCTGCGTCCGGCCCTTCTGTCTCTAAGCCTACGCCTGGTGAGGAGGCGGGCCGTGGCCAGGCCCGGACTGTGGAGGTGCGCAGTGCCCGCTGAGGCCGAGGGGGAATTCAGGCTGCGGCCTGTCAGAGCCAGTCAGGGAGGTGCCCACACGCCTGACAGGATAAGATGGCGGCGATGGTGCCTGGAGGTAGTGGCAGTGGTGGCGGCGGCGTGAATCCATTCCTCAGTGATTCGGACGAGGACGACGACGAGGTAGCGACGACCGAGGAACGGCGGGCAGGACTTCGGCTGGGTTCCGGGGGCGACCTAGATCCTGGCTCTGCGGACTCACTATCGCCCCAGGATCCCGTGGCCTTGGGGAGCAGTGCACGGCCAGGGCTCCCTGGGGAGGCGGCGGCTGCGGTGGCACTGGGGGGCAGTGGGGAGACCCCGGCCCGATTGTCAATTGATGCGATCGCGGCTCAGCTGTTGCGCGATCAATACTTGTTGACCGCCCTGGAGCTGCACACCGAGCTGTTAGAGAGCGGCCGCGAGCTGCCTCGGCTGCGCGACTACTTCTCCAATCCGGGCAACTTCGAGAGGCAGAGTGGGACCCCGCCGGGGATGGGGGCGCCGGGGATCCCTGGAGCAGTCGGCTTCGGAGGCGCAGGAGGTCGGGAGCCGAGCATGACGTCGGGCGGGGGACAGCTCAGTAAGTGAACGCAGTCTGTCTCCCCGCAGGTTGCTAGGGTTGGGGGGAGGGTGTTTCTGGGCGGGTGCTGAGCACTGGGGACATTTCGGGCGCACAGTGGCCGGGGGTGGAGGTCTTCTGCGGCGGACGCGGGCTCGGGCAGTGGCTGCTCTCGCCGCCTGCCCCCATCCCGCGGCTGCCCTTGCACTGGCTCCCCGGTTGCTGTCGGGATCTATAAAAATATCCAGTGTTTCTAGTTCACCGACTAGGACAGGGCTCCAGACGGCTCCCTTGCAAACCGGCTTATCGCTTTAATCATTTTTCCCTTTTCTCCGGTTTCCCGAATCGCCACTACCAGGAAATAGTGTTTCTTCAAGTGTTCACTGTAATTAGGCTGAAAGTCGAGAGAGAGGGAAAAGAATAGGAAATGTTGTTGTCCTGTCCTCCACTAAAGACCCTTTGTCTTTGGGATGGCTTTCTCACTAAAAAAAAAAAAAAAAGGACTTTCAACTGCATAAAATATGTTCTGTTTAAGTACACTTTAAATGCCTTCATTGCAGTAGTTTCCAAAGTTACAGGAAATCTAAGGAGCAGAGAGGGCAAGTTCCGCCTGCTCTCTATCTAGTGGTCCCACCATACCAAAGCCTTTTTATTCTGCATAAGTTAGACATTTCCTTTTTTACCTTGTTAATATCATTTTTAGCAGCGCAGAGTAATCATTTACCCCATTCATCACATACTATTTTTAACTGAATTTATTGAGGTTACATTGGTTAATAAAATTATATTGGTTTCAGGGGTACGATTCTGTAACACTGTGTGTTCACCACCTCAAGTCATGTCTCTTTCCATCACCATTTATGGACCCTTTCCCCTCTTCTGCCTTCCCTCACCCCCTCACCCCTTTCCCTCTGGTAATCTTACTGTTGTCAGTCCATGAGGGTTGTTTTTGTTTGTTTGTTTTGGGTTTTTGCTTGATACCTTTACCTTTTTCATCCAGCCTCCCTCCCCTCTCCTCTCTGACAGCTGTCAATCTGTTGTATATCTATGAATCTGTTTCTATTTTGTTATTTTTTGTTCATTAGATTATACATACAAATGAAATTATATAGTATTTGTCTTTCTCTGGTTTATTTTACTTAGCATAATACTTTCCAGGTCCATCCATGCTGTCACAAAGAGTAAGATTTCCTTTTTTACGGCAGAGTAGTATTCCACTGTGTAAATGTACTACAGCTTTTTTATTCACTCATCTAATATAGACACTTGGGCTGCTTCCAAATCTTAGATATTGTAAATACTGCAGTGACCATAGGGGTGCATACATTCTTTCAAATTAGTATTTCGGTTTTTTCAGATATATTCCCAGAAGTGGAATCGCTGGGTCATAAGGCAGTTTCATTTTTATTTTATTTTTTTTCTTTATTGGTATTAGAGAGGAAGGGAGAGGGAGAGAGAGAAACATCGATGAGAGAGAACATCAATTGGCTGCCTCCTGCCTGCCCCCCACTGGGGATCAGGTCCATAACCTGGGCATGTGCCCTGACCAGGAATCGAACCAGTGACCTCTTGATGCATGGGGTCAGCGCTCAGTCACTGAGCCACACCAGCTGGGCAGCAGTTCCATTTTTAATTTTTTGGTGTAACTCCATACTGCTTTCCACAGTGGTTCCACCAGTCTACACTCCCACCAACAGTGCATGAGGGTTCCCTCTTCCAGGGCTCCCTCTTCTCCAAGTCCTCCGCAGCACTTTTTGTTTGTTGATGTATTCATGAGAGCCATTTTGACAGGTGTGAAATGATATCTCATTGTGGTTTTAATTTGCATTTCCCTGATAATTAGTGACATAGAGCATCTTTTCACATGTCTGTTGCCATTTGTATGTCTTCTTTGGAGAACTGTCAATTCAGATCCTTTGACCGTTTTTAATTGATTTTTTTTTTTTTTTTGAGTTTTAAAAGTTCTTTATAAATTTTGTACACTAACCACTTATCAGATGTATCGTTGATCAATATGTTCTCCCATTCAGTGAGCTGTCTTTTTGTTTTGTTGATGGTTTCTTTTGCTGTGCAAAAACCTTTTAGTTTGTCCCTGGCTGGTATGGCTCAGTTGGTTGGAGCATCGTCCTGTTCACGAAAATGTGGTGTGTTTGATTTCCAGTCCAGGCACAATTGGAGTGCTTACTGGAGGCAACCATTCGATGTTTCTCTCAATCATTGTTTCTCCCTCTCCCTCTCTAAAAAAAAAAAAATCAATAAAATTTAATTTTTGAAAACTTTTTAGTGTGATGTAGTCCCATTTGTTTATTTTTTCTTTTGTTTCTCTTGCCCTATGCGATATATCAGAAAAAATATTGCTACAAGAAATGTCTGAGATTTTACTGCCTATGTTTTCTTCTAGAATTTTTATGGTTTCAAGTCTAACATTTAGGTCTTGAATCCATTTTGAATTTATTCTTGTATATGGTATAAGAAGGTGGTCTCGTTTAATTTTTTGCACTAATCTTTCCAATTTTCCCAACTTTATTTATTGAATAGACTGTCTTTACCCCATTGTATGTTCTTCTTGGTCAAATATTTATTGACAATAAAGGTATGGGTTTATTTCTGGGCACTCTATTCTGTTCCTATATGATCTATATATCTGTTTTTTGTGTGCCAGTCATCATATATTATTTATGAGTTTGTTATGGCTTGAAAAATGCTATCAAGGATGTATAATGGATTCCCAATATCCCCTTTTGGGGGGCATCTTAGATTTTCTTTTATTAATGGTGTGAGACATTTTACACGAATTTACTGGAATTTACTAATGTTAAATATGCAATTTTAAAATTGTAGCCTAATTGATTATTTTTTATCTCTATACTTTTGAATGGTGCCAAAGACTTACATTGCCAAATTTAGATGTAGTGAATGTGCAAAGGGAGAATTTTCTGTTAAGGTGAATACTAAGCAGATTTCCCTCTTGGATATGGAATTTTCTCAGTTGGCATAACTTCCTTACTTAATATGTAGGATAATCTTCCTCTTCAGAGATTTCTCATTTGGCCTTTAAGACTAAAATTGTTATGTAGTTGGGGTTTTTGGTTTGAATATTTCTAAATGATCTAAGATTTTCACCTGACAAGCTCAACTAATACCTCAAGACCCAGCTCAAATGATATCTTTGTAAACCCTTCTCCTAGTCCCCATGTTTACTTAGTTGCTTCCTTTTGCAAACCTCAGTCATAGCCTTTAACACTTTTGTATTTGATTTGTTGACAATATCATTTTTCTCCATTAGATAGTCACTTCTTCAGGGACATCTTTATATCCTTACATTTTGTACAGTTCCCAGCCTAATGAACATGAATTGCATCACCTATGTTTTTTTACTGTATTAATATAATGAAATGCCCAAGAATGTTTAATAGCATCCCTGGCCTCTCTGTCCACTAGATGCCAGAGTCCCAGGTTCGGTCCCTCTAGGGGCACCTACCAAAACATAAATAAAATAAAGTTTAAAAAAAAAATTCACATTCATGTTTTTATGTGTATTAGTAGCTTATTCCTTTTTGATTTATCCATTCCTCTGTTAGACGTTTGTGGTTTTTTTTCTGAGTTTTGGGCTATATGAAAAAAGCTGTCACGAACATGCTTGTGCAAATTTTGCATGGACATATATTTTTATTTCTTTTGGGTAATACCTAAATATAGAATTGCTGGGTTATGTAGTCAGTTTGTATTTAAGTTTATAAGAAACTGATGAACTATTTTCCAAAGTGGTTGTACCATTTAAAATTTCTATCACCAATGTATGAGAGTTCCAATTTATATATTTCATCCCTCAAACATTTGGTATTTTCATGCTTTTAATTTAACTTATTCTAGTGAGAGAGTTGTGGTGTCTCATTGTGATTTTAATTTTCATTTCTCTGAGGACTAATTCTGAGCTGCTTCTGAGCTTTTTGCCATTAGTATATCTGCTTTTGT